CCCCAACGGAGTGGGGATGGGGGGAGGACAAGAACAAGAGGTCCCAGGTTTTGGAAGTCAAAAAGCTGTTTGATGCATTCCAACTTAAAATTTTTTTCATGATCATCCAACCAGACATGGAGGGGCAGCTTTTTTAAAACATAATTAAAACGATACGCATTTTAGTCGTGCTAATAAAACCTATGGTTTTGCCAGATTTGAGCTAGTGACCATGGGACTTAACTGGAAGAATAGACATTTAATCTCAAAAGCTCTACGTTGAACGTCTGATAATCATAATCGATGAAGGCCTATCTTGGTTGGATTGGATTTATTATGTGTAAACACCAGGATAGCCCACGAAAGTCTGAAGAAGACTTTATTTTTAGTGGGGTCCTTCTGGGCAGTACAACGGCATACGATAAGTGGCGTAACGAAGGGACCGGATGCCCCTTGAGGGCCCTTTATGGCCCAGACGCTCGGGCCGGGGCCGAGAAGGGCCCCCGGTGGGGATCTGGGGGTAGAGGCCCCGGCCGCTCCGGCGTGTTTAGCGTTCTATGACGTATTTTAATGCCTTTTTTACACATTCGAATTCTAAGTTTATGTATCGTGATTTGACCCAAAAAAGGCATACTTTGTTTTAACTAAGATATCACTAATAACATAATTATTACGATAAATACCAAACAAAACGAGCCAATTAAAATAAATGTTCATGGACTATTGTACCGTACTCGCGTAACTTTTTGAAGTTTCAACAAAACGCAGACTGGTGATAGTGATGATAATAGTGATAAACAGACTGGCTTGGAGAAGGGCCTTGGTTATTTGTTTGTTAAAAAAAAGAAAAACAAATATTTGAATTTGCTGGGGACACACTTGAGAGTTCATAGCCGTTGCACCACTCAACACGATCCCGTATTCGTTTCCGAAAAGTGTACTGCGTTTTTTAACGTACACATTGCACACGGGATCGGCTTAAACGTACGTCTCATCCGAGAGAAGGTGAGCTAATGAAACTTGTTTTTTTTAGCCCTCCAGCTGAAAACACACAAGGAGAGCAGCGATGGGAATTTAACCGGGGATCAAGAGACCTCCGCCTTTCAGCACGCACACAGTGGCTACCTCTAGTTTAGTCGACTGAGATAAGCTGCTCTTTTTAGAAATGTCTAGCCACGATCTGGCACTATCTGTCCTTCATTTATCATTTATTTCATATATAGGTCTACAGAGATCTAATCGCAGTTTTGCATACACTGACAGATACCGTTAACCTATATTTTCAGTCGGAGCCGACTGATAGAATTTTAGGAGGGATAAGATAATTGAGATTAATATCATTGAACAATGCATAATATTATCTACATCCATATTTTATGCGTCTTAAGTGGTAAAAAATGGTGCTGTATATTCTCTAGGGGGTAGGGGAACTCTGTGCCCCCAACGCCCAGTAGCGTAACTACCGCCGGTTCAAACGGTTCTGTGAACCGGGGCTCCTGGGGTTCAGGGGCCCCCGGTATATTTTTTAGTTATTCTTTTCAAACCAAACGCTAAATATATGGCCTGTTTAGTTTCCTGTCTCTTTAAATTATCTTAGTTTTGTTACCTTATTCTGGTTCCCATATATTGATTAAATTAGTAAAAGTACGATGTATACAGTATATAATAATATTCCTCCCTAAAACTCAGGTTCAGAACTAGGATGATGCCCAGCGGGGATAGTACTATGGATTACCTAATAATAATGTACAATATTCAATTTCATAAATGGGTCACGGGCCTGGTATTATGTTGGGCGGTTAATGGTATTAATACGGATTACTTCAGTAAGAGAGTATAGTAATTTGCTAATATGCGTCAAGGGCCCCGACGATACCCTCGAACAAAGCCCCTCAGTCTAGTTGCGGCGCTGCTAGCGCCCCCAGTATTACTGAACCGAGAACCAGCCTGCCCCTGTTCGCATACAAGGAAGACCACCTTGATATTATAACGTATCTGTTTTATATTACAGGATCCGTCTGTTGATTATGTGGATTTAGGCGGAGCTTATGTAGGTCCAACTCAAAACAGGATTCTGCGAGTAGCAAATGAAGTAGGAGTCAAACCATACGTAGTGAGAGACGCCGAAAAATCTGTATGGCTGCAAAATGTAGGTTTTTATGGATTTATTATTAATTTAAAAACTTAGGCCTATATATGAGATCTACCAACAAATAATACACAAAAAGCAGTTTTAAAACTTTAGAAACAAAATTTGTATTTTGACAGTGAAGCATGCGGCGAAAGGGGAATAATATTATTTACAGTGATACACGGTTTGTGATAATGATATTAATAATCTGTATATCAATAATGAGCATATACAATAATAATAACATTGATAGTACAGTATATGTTGTAATCCTTCAAATGACGCTTGAATGTATTGTTAATAATAGATTAAATTACGTTTATTATTGCATGTACTCCTCTTCAATAATTCACCGATAAGTGAACCATTATTATATTCTCACCCTTGTAATATTCTCAGACGTCGATTTGATTTAGGCCAATGTACATTCTAATTATTTCAGGGCAAACGATACGAGTTCAACGGGTTTATGCCGAAATTCTGGAATCCCCTGATTTGGCTGGATGTGAATAGCATCATTCGGGAAATCGACCGCATAGGAGAGACGGTAAGGCAAAAAAGAAAAGGAAAATGTCATACCTGATCAGCATAATCATAACAATTTTTTATTGAAATGATGATGCTTACTGTATTTTAGTTATGTTTTTGCTTCAAACACTCACTATTTATTCATTGAACAAGATATTCTTTTCAAATGCTGTATGTTAGTATTTCGATGATTTGGTTTTGTTCTGTATTCAGATTCCATTAGACAAGCCGTGGGATTGTCCAAATGCCGAAGAATTAGATAACATGACATGGAAAGAATGGGTTCTTAAACATGCATGGACAAGGTAGGTTTACGTTGGAAATGTTTATGCCTTAACAATTAATAAAGAAAAAGGAAATCGTTGCCGAGCCACTAGGACTCATAGGGCTATATCTTATCCCCAGTTACTGTAGCGTGAAGCGGATGATAGTGAATCCGCCTGGGTGGGACGCTGGTGGCAGGCTACTCCCAGCAATTTGCTGGTACCCATTGATAGGCCTACAGCTGGGTAGACTGAAGCAAAAGTGCCTTGCTCAAGGACACAAGCGAAATGCACAACGAAGGATTGAAACACCGATCTCGAGGTTAGGAAACCCAACAATTAATAATAACACTAAATAATGAAAATAATAAACACGTATGCCTGTGATCGAACCGCTCTCTTAATAGAAAGGTATCGTGACACTCATACACTGCAACAGAAGATGATAATAATAATGATACGGACCGGTAAACAATGCGACAGTGAACGTAGGTCGAATCTCATGGATAAAAATAGCCTTTATATCAGAGACAATGTAAATATAATATCGATAGGGCCTATACGTTGAAATATTTACTTTATCAGGTGTCAAATATTTATTGAGTTCCTGATGAAAAACTGTTGTCAGATCGAAACGTCACTAATAGATAAAATATTTTTTGTTTATATAGAAGGAATAGTTAATTATAACAATAATTGTCGACTTATATAGCGCATATAGACTAACCTCTATACGCTTTACATTATTACCCCCGGTCACTGGATCAAGCACATGGAACAACACTCATGCCCCATAATGTTGCAGCTGTATTTAGCGCATGGTTGTGTTTGAACCTACCAGGTACCCACTTGTAGGCCTACTCATGGGTTTAAAGAGACAAACGTAGATAAAGTGCCTTGCCTAAGGACACAAGCGA